TTCAAGGTCTGAGACACTTGGCTCGAATCCCATATTTATGACTTCTATACCTTTGGGTGGGATGCAGACTCACTAATCTTCAGTGTCCTCATCTATAATATGGGGGTATCACCCACCTCCCAGTGCCATGTGGAGGCTTTGTTTCCATGTTTATTGCCTGTCTCCCCCTGAGACCTCCCCTTGAGGTGTCTCTTATTTGCCTTTATGTGTTCAAAGTTTATTTATTTATTTTGAAAGAGAGAGAGAGAGAGAGTGCGCAAGCAGGGGAGGGGCAGAGAGAGAGGGAGAGAGAACATTTCATAACAGCTCACAGCTGTCAGTGCAGAACCCGATGTGGGGCTTAAACCCACGAGCTATGAGATCATGATCTGAGCCGCAATCAAGAGTCAGACGTTCAATCGACAGAGCCAACACAGGCACCCCTGTGGCCTTTATATATTCAGTTCTTGGAATTGTGACAGTTGTGTGGTGGATGTTCAATAGATACTAGTGACTGACCTTGTGATTTAATTACTCAACACATACAACAAAGTACCAGGTGTGATACCTAGCACAGAGCAGGGACAATGCATGCATAATAATAGCTCATCTTATCGACACACCTCTGCAAGTCAGAAAGACCTCTAGGGAAAATTCAAGTATTTCCAGTAGAATTATAAATTAGAAAAAAAATATATAGTAAACCAGAATCTTTAAGTAGTTGTTATTGTTGTTTCTTTAATGCTAGGAAAGACATATCAAAACACTAGGAAACTAAGGAACAGAGAAGAGAAATACAGGAGGGTGGTGCTTTTGTAGACCTTGTTAGTGAATAACAGCACACATTGAGCAGGAAAAATCTAGATGTGTGACCTTCCTGAAATTTGAGAGTCCATATATATTCTTTTGCTCAAAAACCTTTAATAAACACCTACCAAATGTCGGATAATGTGCGCAGAAGTGGAAAAGCTGTAAGAGGTTAGGGATGATGTCTTGTCTCTCTGGAGGAGATGGGGGAGTAGAAGGACTTTCTCTCCATTTTGAAAACTGTTTCATCCTTAAAGGGTCTATTTTAAAAGTCTCATCAGACACTGCAAGACTCACCTGTTCTGGCTAAGCCCTCAAAGTTTGCAGGAGTAACTCGCTTCCTGAGTTGTCTGTCAATACACTGAACAATAGAACCTATAAGCATTCGATTGCATAGAGAAAGCATTAAAAGTTCAAGCCAGGGCAAAAGTTTGCCACTTGACTCTTTTCACGACTCTCTCCAGAGCTGACAATGCCGTCCAAGTGGCTCCTGTGTTACAGTCATGAGGTGAGAAAGCTCTTCAGCTGATATCCTGAGAATTACGGGCAGCAGAGGCCAAAGCTACCAGATGGGGTATGGACCAGATATTGTAAGGAAAATGGTCAAGTCCCCAGAGTACCTCATTCATAGAGTCAGGTTCCAACTTAAGTCAGAGGTTAAAAGGTGTGCCCCTTATGTGAATTGTCAGCCACTCCTAGACTGGAGGCTTTGACTCACTTCCTGTTTTTTGGTCTTCACAGAGTGCAGATGAGTCTGCTCATCACAGACCAGAGTAATTCCCCAGCAGAAAAGACACAGATGCCACTGTTAGGTGCCCTGCTTCCAGCTTCTTTTGAGGAGTTGAATGGTCCATCCTTTAAACCAATGCAACTTCTAAGGGAAGGAGAGAGTTTGGAAGTGGCAGGTCTGTGCTTTGTCCTTCCAATTAGGGTCAGGTAAAGTAGTTCATGAGGGAGCCTACATGGCTCCTATTTTGTCACAGGCTATGCACACTAGGTGTCACAATGTGAGCATTTCAAACAAAACCGTGGTGAAATCTGACATTGACAATCTTCTTAACCAAGTTAGTAATGCTTAATCCTTAAAAAAAAGGCAGCATAAATTAGCGAATAGATTACAGGCTTCAAATCAGAGAAACTGGGTTTGACTCTAAATCTAAGTGGCCTTAAGTGAGTTACCTAAACTCTCTGAACCTCATTCTCTATATTAATAAATGGACATATTAGTATCTTCATTATCTTTTTTGTGAAACTCAACCTCTACTAGGCAATCAAACTTTAGTAGGTACTCAAAATAATTTATGCTAATTTTTATTTTAAAGAGATACTGGAAAAAAACTGAAATGATATGGGGGCATCTAAAAGGTTGACAACAGCATTTCTTCTTCCTTTTGAAATAAAATTAAGCAAATTGAAACAATCTTCACTTTTCTTCTAATACCATAGACACATTGTAACTTATAAATTCAAAACGAAAGTGTCAGGGCAATTCATAGCACCAAGGTTCCAAGACCTGCAGTTCTTACCCTTCCAGACTTGTTCATCAGATTCACCGACCAGGGAACATTTCATAACAGTTCAAAGTTCTAACAGAGAACCGTGAGATAATTGAATTTCATGCAACTTCATTTCTAACCAGTTCCAGTTCTGAGTTTAAGGAAGGGAAGAGTAATGCCAACACATTCTGTAAACGATCAACATCTGAAACAGATTCAAATCAGAACCATTTATCCAGGGCTTGCTATAGACTGGAAACAAATAAGGTATAGTATCTCCCTGCCATGAGATGAAAAATATAGTGGGAAATATAACAGGCAGGTTAAATATGGGTTCCATCAGTCTGAGGGTGTTCTATATTCCCTGATCACATACTGTCAAAATAAGGGGTAGAGATAAAAGATGCCCGGTGTAGGCCAGCAGTCCTTCCAATGTTTTTCTTTTCTCTTTATGGGGTCATCTAATATTATGACCTGCATAGAGACAAGGCTATGGCTGCCCCGCTCCATTTTGCTGCTACTGGAACCCAAAAGGAGAAGTGGGTTTTAGGGGAAAAGAGGGGAAAAGTCTTTGTGGCTTTCTGTGTGTGTGTGTGTGTGTGTGTGTGTGTGTGTGTGTGTGTGTTTCCCCACCTTTTTCATTGTTTGGTTGAAATGGTAGACCCATTTGAAGACCCATTTGAAGTGGGTCCAAGAACATAAATGTTCATATTTTCATGTTAGAAAATACATATTGTTTGTTTTTTTTCTGTTTATCATTTTTTTTTCTTTTTTCTTTTTTTTAACACAATGGTGTATGGTTAAGAAAGTTCAGGCATGTAAGAGCAATCTAACCTTGGTGTAAATATTAACTTTACTGAATTCAAAGCTGTCCTTTCAATCAAACCCCTAAATTCTAAGAAGCAAGTGGAAATAAATTACACAAAGATCGTGAATGGTCATTTTAAACATATTTTTGTGTAGGTTTCTATTGACTTGAATAAAGTCTCTCTATAAACTTACTTTCTACCACTTTCATAAAACGAATTCCGTTCTTTTGAAATGAGTGTTCAAGCAAACTGCAGCAATTGACAGAACAGATAGAAACTTAGGTATATTAACCTCCTTCATATGTTACTATCTAAAAAAGGGCATTCTTCATGACACAAACGCACACATATAATTACTGAAGTAATACATGTTCAGTGCAGGATGTTTGATAAACACCAAGAAATACAAAGGAAAATCAAAAGCAGTGATTTTACCACCTGATTTAATTATTGTTATTTCCAGCTTTTCCTCCCTGTGCATAAGTTCAGCAAATATGTAGGTGGTGACTCCTCTGTTGAAGGCACTGTGCTGGCCACTTGGGGATACTTCCATAAGCATGAAATACTTTCTATCATTTTGAGGCTTTTTTTAGAATGGTGGGAATGGAGGTGAAATATACAAAAATTATTTTTTATCATAAGTGCTGTGTGAGGAAGTAATGGAATGCATTTTAGGATGTCATATTTTAACTTCTGATGAATGAGAATTAATCATCAGAAGAGGCTCAGAGGAGGGAATACAGTCTTAGGCAAATACACAGTGTGGTGTTATAAACTATATATTCTATTATGATCTTTGTTAAAACCTTCCCATATCAGTATTCTTTTACAGCATAGGATTCATTTTCCATTATAGGAATCTATTATATGCAATTTATGCAACTAATCTTTTTAAATATATTTTAGGTGCAGAATTAAGAAATAATGGGGCACACTTTATTCTTGTGCACACAGCCTTACCCACTTATGAGATGACTTCTTTAGTATAAACTTAAATTCATAGGAATGGACTTGTTTAGTCAAAAGACAAACACATTTCAAAAGATTTAAAAAAAAACAAACATATTGCCGGGGTGCCTGGGTGGCTCAGTCAGTTAAGCCTCCCACTCGATTTCAGCTCAGGTCATGATCTCACAGTTCTTGGGTTTGAGCTCTGCCTTGGGCTTGGTGCTGACAGTGTGGAGCCTGCTTGGGCTCCCTCTCTCTCTGTCCCTTGCCCCATTCTCTCTCCATCTCTTTCTCAAAATAAATAAACTTAAATAAAACATATTGCCAAATTCACTCCAGAAAAATATGCTTGTGTGCCCTCCCATCAGAATTGTATGGGAGAATCCATTTCTCCACACTCTCAGTAACCCTTGGTGTTATTTCTTCTAATTCTTGCCAAATTGATTGTCAAGGAAGGAAAAAGCATTTCACTCTTTTTATTTGCATTTCTTTGATTTCCAGTGAGATTCAACATTAAAATAATATTTTGAAGTAGGTAGTGACACATTAGCTGGTTAGTTTTTCAGATTCTGAAATATACTGAAACAATGAGGAGAAGTAACAATAAAGGCAGGGGTTCTGATTTCTGTTTTTACCCTGCTATTTTTAGCTTGCTGTGGAAACAAAGACTGTGAAGGGGGACATGGATACACAAATATTGGAGTTTTAGTACTTGAAAAAGAATTTGGGAGGAAATTCAAATTGAAAAATGTTTACTATAAATGCCATGATTTTTAAAAATTATAGAAGGTCCTTATTATTACCCAAATTCCATACCACCTATAGATTTTAATAAAGAAAAGACTTTTATGAAGACTAATTAAAAATACAGTCTCTACTCATTCCAAATGTTGCTTATATAATATCTATGAAGGATTTCTTCAAATGATAATGCTTTTTTATCCTTTTTTATTTTCCTAAGGAAAAACTGGTCTACTTCCTGGATCGTTCTTTCTAGTCGAAAAATTGAATTTTACAAAGAATCTAAGCAGCAGGCTCTGGCTAACATGGTAGGTAGCTCTCTGTTTCTGCTATTATCATCTTCACAGAAATGTTATTGAATTAAAAGTTTGGTTTCATCAGAAATCACACTAGAGCCTCCAAGCTCCCAACAACTGAAAGCAGATGGAGGAAATGACTCAATAAACTTTTAATCAGATGAAGGGAAAATAGAACTTAGTGTCTGTTTTATTAAGTGGTGCATTTGGAGAATAATCACAAAATGAGATGGATGGTGAACAGCTATCTAGTAATGTGAAGGTAACACTTTAAATTAAGGTGCCATTTATAAATGCTTTATTCTTATTTATGAAATGATCACTAAATGCAGCTACTTGCTCAAATAATGTATTATAAAGTATGTTATAAAATACATTAGTAATAAATGCTTAACGGATGAGACTATGGGAAGCTGTTTTAAAGAATATTATAAGACGTAAATCCTATTAAACCATGTATGTGCATCTTTAATACATGAATTTAAGTTGTTATCTAGCATGCTGTAAAGTGCTTCATACATTAATAAATAATAGTAAACTGTTTATAAATGGCACCTTAATATAGGGTGTTACCAATGAGGAAACACTCTAAGTTAACAAAGTGATTTTTTATCTTAGTCTAACTGCGACATTCACTATATCCAGCTAACCTTTCTGAATATTTCTGACTCCATCTAATGGAGCTAATGCAATTTCTGTAACCCATAGTTATTACAAAGTGAAATTTGTAGGGTTTCTTTATTGTACCTGGAGGAGGGCCTCCCATATGCCCACGGCAATTCGATAGTGACAGTGAGTAGGAGCAATTCTGAGTGAGTCACTGGGGCAATTCAAGCTCACAACCTTGCTGCCCACACACCAGAGCTGCCATGTGATACGGGAGACGGTGGGCAAGCAGCATGTCTCACAGCCTCCCGATTAGGAAGGACGCCGGGCAGGAACAAACCTGCCATACCCCATCGGCCTGATGGGTGGCAGAGAGAGGGGTCGCCTGGCAGGAGTCAACCGCAATGAACTAATTTGTATTTGGCAGGTAATAAAACGCTGGAAAGTTCTTTGCTTTCCAGCCGCTAGTCTTGTTTGCTATGTAATCCTCTTTAAATAGGAAATAGAAAATCATTTGCTAGGAGATGTTTGTTTGTTTTTAAATAGAAGAGCAAAAGGTAGCATTTGGCTTGTCCCTGATAATCACAATAGTCTTTATCCCCAAGTGGCCTGCTGGTTTTGGAGTCTTGGTGCGGTCCGATCTGTAAACTAATTATAAATAAATTAAAAATATATCTCGGTCGTTTGTGTTTTTAATTTAAACTGTCTCAGAAATTTGTTCTAGGCTTTTGTTTTGTTTTTATTTGGGGCCTACAGTAAGGTTGAGATAATCTTTTTAAGAAAAATAAAGTACCCCTAAAGGCCAGGCACAAAACACCTCCTATCCACTCACAGGGACTTTGTCTTCCCTTTGAATGAATTCTAAGGGGGGAATCAGGAAGGGAGGAAAGTCACTTGTCTGGCAGGTTGAGCTGATGATCTTCGTCCTGCTGGGTGAGAATTCCACCTGAGCCGGAGTTTATGTGAATGTTCTGGGATGACAGGAGAGATTAGATTAGATTCCACATTAAAGCTTTGGTTTATTTTTATCTTATATTTTAATCTCCTTGTACCAGTGCCAGGAAATATAATTATCAGCTACTTAATTTTATACAGGTGAAAGAAAACTTTTCAAGTCAGCTCGCTAATCGCTAATTGATTGCATGCCTCCAGTTCAACCTTCAGAGTTGTAAACTGACAATAGATTTTACTTTTAGAAGATGTTCGTTAACATTTTTTGGCAGCCCCTATTTATTACTTCTGGCCCCATTTTCAATGCTCTTATGGTTTCTCCCAGGCACTCGTCTTCAAAGTGAATTCAGGGCAGGAACTAACTGTGTTTTGTGGTAACGGGGAAGAGAATTACAGATTCATGTTTGTACTGCATGAATTGTTGTGCTAGTCAACTTCTTGGATACATTTCTAACCAAGTATTAAAGGCCTAGTGGGATAGCCCACATTTACCAATTCCAGTCTCAGAGAAACGATATGATGATTGCCAGGCCTTGATTAAAGATGCTGTGGTTTCATTTTGAAAGAGATTTACGCTCAAATTTCTGAATTTTCCTTGCACCCCCTTACACATGTCCTGGTATTGTTCATTGTGCTTCTGGGAAAAAGTCTGTCCTTTCCTCCAAGGGGTCAGTAGAAACAGACTGAGTGAGTGCAGAATGTGGTTTAAGAGAGTAAATGGCATTTTAATCTTTATAGGAATGATCTTTGAATGTTAATGCAGTGGTAAGACAAAGCAGCAAAGTAGCTAGGAGCAGGGCTTTGAAGTTCAACCACAGCGGACTTCATTCCAGTCTTGCTGCTTAGGAGCTGACAAAGTCATTTGACTTCTTTGCACTTCAGAGTCCTCATCTGTAAAATGGGGATAGTGGTATCTGCCAACAGAATTAAAAGGGAATGGAATTACTTAACAAAAGAAAAGATTAATAGTAGCTATCAACTAATTATTATTGTCTAATATAGTATACTCTATTAAAATATATATATTCTATAGTACATAATACAGGACATAATATAATTTTACCATATTTTTACATCGTATGGATTTTGTGCTTGAACTGATACGGACATGTATAGAAGAGAAAATAATGACATTAACTCAAGGACCATCAGCATGTACAGTCTCCAAAAAAGGAACTATGTATCCCTAGGCGGTGTAAATGGTGTGTCTGATCACCGATAATTCTGAAAGAGAAGCCATTCCTCCATTTGGGGCTCTAGGTGTTACCTCTTGCATGACCATATGTATTTTCCTGGGGCCCTCACCTTCCTCCAGTGGCTCTTTCCCTGTGACTTTCACATTTAATACAGCATGTCATAAAGCATGCCTGATCCCGCAGTCCATGTTTGACTATCTTTCTTGCTGAGGTTCTTTCAGTCTATAACCAGCTCAGATTTGCATCAAAAGCAGCCTTTTCCTGGAAATAGACACAGAATCATTTCACTGGTGTGTGTAAATTAGAGATTCATAGGTTCTGGGTCCTCAGTGACCTGTTCAAGGAAAAAGAGGACTGACTTATTCTGTTTTGTTTGTTTGTTTTTAATAAGGACATTAAAGAGTAATCTAGTGCTTAACTACCACTGTCACTTTCTAGTAGAAAGGGCATCAAAAAATGTCCCAATCCCAAATCGAGGGAGGACAAAACCTCAGAATGAAATACAGTCTTTACCAAAATGGGAAACTACCCTTCTTCTATGTCTATATACACTGTTTCTGTTTTGTTCACTTCATCTCTGACCAGAGAAAGCTTGGTCAAGACTGGCCAGCCCTCCTGTGAGCCAGAGCATTTGAAAACCACTGGTGTCCCTACATCCGGATTTCCTGGATTATGAAGAGGATGATGCTCATATTCTCATAGATTTTTTTTAATATATATTCTGCTTTGTAACTTACCTTAAATTTGTTAACTATTGTCATTGTAAAATACTACAGAAACCACTTTTAGAGGAATGTATAACATATATATATATGCATATTTTAAAAGTTAATCAGACTCCTACATAATCTTCACTCAAATGAAGACATGGACTCTTTCTGCCCTCCAGAAGCCCCACCCCCTGCCATTTATCTCTATATCACCCAACCTCTTCCCTTCCTACAGAGTTAAACTGCATTTTAGCTATTATTAAATAATTTTTCATTATTTCCCCACCTGTACCAGCTGTATATATAGCCCTTAAGAAATGTGGTTTACTTTGTCTGGTTTTGAATTTACATAAATGGAATCACAGTATATGCCTTTTTTGTTTCTTGCCTTTTTCTCTAAATATGTCATGCTTTTTCTTTCTTTTTTTTATTTTTATTTTTTATTTTTTTTGCACTGATCAGAGTGATGTACTTTGCACTTTGTTTCTGTTTTGCTAGTGGCTTGCCTAGGATTGCATCATTGATACCTAGCAAAGACTAAAGCTAATCAAATCCTTTATCATCTTCCAAAATATTACCTTAGTATATTTTTATTTATTTATTTTTTAACGTTTATTTATTTTTGAGAGAGAGAGAGAGACAGAGGGAGAGAAAGATCATGAACATGGGAGGGACAGAGAGGGGGAGACAAAGAATTGCAGGCAGGCTCCATGCAGTCAGAGTAGAGCCCCACAGGGGGCTTGAACCATGAACTGTTGAGATCCTGACTTGAGCTCAAGGTGGGGCTCAAACTCATGAATGATGAGATCATGACCTGAGCCAAAATCAAGAGTTGGATGATTAATAGACTGAGCCAACCAGGTGCCCCTAGCTTAGAATATTTTAACACACCTATCCTCTTCTCAACACATATGCTATTGTTGTCTGGTATTTTAATTCTTTGTTTTGTTTTTTTAACACCACCAGATATTATTATTTTTATAGAGTCAATGTTGGTTTATATTTGCCCAATATTTGCCATGTTCCTTGCCATTTACTTCTTCCTTCATCTTCCACCTTCCTTCTAGGATAACCCTATATTCTGAGAAATCCCTGTAGAAAGGGTCTTGTAATAACAACCTGTCGCAGTGTTTGCTTGTTTCAAATGTTCCTATTTCTCCCTCATTCTGGTAATATATATATTCTCTCTGGATATAGAGTTTTGATTTGGGTTATTTTCTTTTAGCACATAAAGTTGTTATTCCAACCTTTTCTGTCATCTATTATTGTGATCAAGAAGTTACCTTAGTCTAACTGCAGTTATCTGGCTACTCATGATATTTTTATTATTACCTTTGTTTTTCCACAGTTTTATTCTTCCTGTATGGATTGTTGAGCCTCTTGAAGTTGTTTTTAAGTATCATTAATATATTTTAGAAAAATATCAGCTATTATTTTCAAGTGAAGCTTTCTAAAAATATTTTCTCTTATATTTTTCTATGCCTCTAGTTAAACCTACATTTAGAGGCTTCCTACTCTATTTTCCACATTTTACATTCTATTTTTAATC